AGCGGACTGGTGAACCAGAACCGGAAACTCTGAAGGGGAGATCACAATGATCAGTTCAGGGACCGTAGGAAAAAGGATGAGGCTAATAATTTGCAGGAAAACGCGAGTGCCTCTTGGTTAATCTTTGGATCCAGTTTGCGGGGGCTTATTATTTAGAGATGAAAGAACTTGTTGGAGGGTGGACAGACAGACTAACGTTGGGTCCAGAGGAGCAATGGGGCAGACTGTCACCAGGTTTTCCGGAAGAGGACTTGAACGGATCATGTGGAGGTTTCCCGTTGCTCAATTGTGACTCAGTTTATCCTTCCAGGGGGGGTAGAAGGTCCAGGCTTATCCAGTGGATCAGGAAGGCTTCCTGCCGGAGAACAAAGACAAAGCAAGCTTAGACTCAGAAAGACAAGGCTAAAGGTTAGACTCAGTTAATCTCAGTTTGGCTAGAGCAGCAGTCCCCAAACACCGGGTCATTTGGTACCGGGCCGCACAGAAAAACGATGATCAGAGTCTGAGTGATGTTTTATTTTGAAAAATATAAAAAATTGTGGTATTCTCTCCCAATTACATCAGTCGGTGCATCTGCGCCTCTTGACACAGGTTATTTCAGTTCAAGACGCATCCTATCTATAACATCCTATCTTTGTGAAGCGGGATTCTCTGCAGTTACAGCGACCAAAACAAAGCTACGGAGCAGGCTGGACTTCAGGAGCGCACTTCGTCTGTCATTTTGTCCGATTAAGCCTAGATGGGACCGGCTTGCTGTTTTATTTTTAAGCTGTTTGTATTTGATTTTATGCCAGTTGTCTCATTTTACTTCATCGTATCCCCCCCCCCCCCCCCGGTCCATGAAAATATTGTCTGACATATAGCGTTCCGTGGTGCAAAAAAGGTTGGGGACCACTGGGCTAAAGTACCCAATACTGGCAAACACTCTGGCATCGAGGTAGTGACAGCCCACTGCTCAAATACTCCTCTGGTGATGACCCAGGTGTGAGAGGAGGCCCAAATGAGGACAGGGCACCATCTAGTGGTGGAAAAAGAAAACACAAAAACAACCCACAATAACTGGCTTCCTAACAGTTTGCTAGGTTGGACACATTTAACATGGGCGCACTCTCTGTTACGTCCACCAAATGGCGCAGAATCTTCTGACCCAAAGGAAAATAGGCTACAGGCTTATAGATGCATCGGCGCTGAACTACTGAGGTGTCAGTCTGCTCATCAAAATATTGACAAAATTGTGTCATAAAAGGTAAAATAATAAGGCTACTTATTAGCCCTCCAGCCCTATTATATTAGGGCAGAGGGGTAGATTAGTGGTTAGAGCAGTTTGCTTGAATTCTGAGAAGGTTGCAAGTACCCGGTTCAATCCCCACTGCCTGCACTCTGGGTACCTGAGCAAGACCCGAAACTTCACACTGCTCCCCGGGTGACGCACAATGGCAGATCACTGCTCCCCAAGGGGATGGGTTAAATGCAGAGGTAAATTTCTCCATGGTGAGATCAATAAAGTTTAATTATTATTACAGTAGCAGCCATTCAAAATGGCCCTTCCCAGTCAAACGCCAGCCGAACTTACCCTGACTAACCCTTTCACTGAATTACAGGTTCTGACCAGGAGATGACGCTACTCTTTGGATCTCTTTAAAAAAGAATATTTTAGTACAAATATTGATGTTTAAAAAGGAATTATAGGGGACCAGCCAAGGACCATTCAAGGAAAGTGGGGAAATTTTGAATGACTTCTACTGTATTATTATATCTTTAAATATATCTTTTAGTAAAACTTTACAAAATTTCTCTTGAAAAGAAATGGACATTGAAGGCAACTTTAAACCCTAAGTATTTTTTTATCGTAATTGTACATTTTGAAGTTGCAGAGAGAAATAAAATAGAAACTGTGTAATTGTAAAGTTTTTAAAAAAGTTTTTGTAACTGAAACAAAAAAATTACACCTCTTGAAACAAGTACACAAACTGTGTTCTGAGTCACAAATCAAAAACCTCTAACATTCTTATTTTGCTCCATTTGATCCAAAACTATTGTTTCAAAACTAACTTTAGAGGTTTGTAATTCTATTTTCTTTTCCTATCTTTCACAATTAAAAAAAAAAAAAAAAGTACACCTCCTCAAATTTAAGTACAAGTATTCAAAATCTGCTCTGGGAATCACACATTAAAAAATATCGCTTGCATTCTCAGTTTTGCTCCAGTTGATCTTAAACAAATGTATTTAAATCTTCCATATTTCATTTTAAATTATATTATTTTCCTAATTCTGTTTTTCAAGTTACAATTTGCTTTTGCTACAAACATCAGGATCGATTCCCAGTTCGGGGTCTCTCTGCATGAAGTTTGCATGTTTCCCTGAGCATGCGTGGGTTCTCTCCAGGTACTCCGGCTTCCTCCCACAGTCCAAAAACATGACTGTTAGGTTAATTGGCTTCTGTAAATTGTCATGAGGTGTGAGTGTGTGCATAAATAGTTCTCTTTTTCATGTATTTGTAACCAGTGACCTATCCAGGGTGTACCCATCGTCTCATCCATACACTGCCTGAGAAAGGAAACTTTTAATATAAAGGCTTTTCAGTTCTCCTTTAAATAAGTTAGTCATGACCAACAGTCATACATTTTTATAGTTAGGAGCTAAAAAAGCTGGAAGGAGCCTGTTCTGAAACTGTATTTGACAAACCCTGAATTTATCAATAATTCCAGGATGAATAAAGAGACGCATTAAAGGTGTAATGCTGTGTTTTTACTTGCTTTTTATTTATCAGAGAGGAATTTCAGACAGAAAATAAACTATTCACAAATGTCACATAGTCTTGAGCAAAACATTTTTATAAGGTCAAAGTTCAAATTCTATCAACACTGAAGACTCTAATATGACATCAATGTTGGCTGTAGACCGGCACAACCTTCCCGGGTGGGAAAAGCTTTAGTTATTCTGCCTTAAGGCTCAGGCGTAAATCCAGGTGTGTTCAAAGGAAGGACATTCCAAGGAAGGTATGCAACTGATAACACCTACGTGTTTCTGAAAATATTTTGTTTCTGTCAGGTAGACAGGGCCGGATTTTTACAGACCAGGACTCAGTCATGTAACCAGGCCACCCAGGTTACATGACTGACGGACACGACTGATTTCTTAGGTAGTAAAATAAACTAGGGCCCAACTGAAAAATTAAACAAGCTTATATCAATCAAAAAGTTTTTTTTTTTGTTTTTTTTTTTATATATGTTCGAGTTCAGCTTCAGCTGTGACAAACTAGAAAAACTATCCTGAGAAAAGTAAATATTTCTTAAATTAGGTGTATTTACCCTTAATTTGAATATGTAAATGAGATAGTTTGCCAATGGAATGACAAACTACTACTATGATTTTTAGTCTTAAAATAAGATAATTAGATACTATGCACTTGAAATAAGACAATGTAATTATTTTTTTTTATTTTAAGAGTAAATTGTCATGTTCTATTGGCAAAATGTCTCTTTTACCTCCTCAATCCAAGAACAAATACACTTATTTTAAGAAAAAATGACTTATCTAGATTTAGATTTTTTCCAGTGCACATCCAAACCAGGCAGAAAAACAGCCTGGATGTAGAGAACAGCCTGAGATCTGCTGTTTTTCACACTGAGTTATCGGAGCTCATCAAACGCTGCTCAGGTGTTTTGGTGAAAACAAAGTAAACTTAATTAAGTCAGTCTAAATATAGTTTTTGTTCTGCATTTTGTTCCCAATACATCAAGTTTAAATGTGATCATCAGAGAGTTACTCAGAGGAGCTCAAGTTTTATAAATAGTTTTAAATACATTTTTTTGTATTTATTTCGACTATTACTGACTTCCAGGCAATATACTTATGTTGTTTTTTTATTTGAGAAGGAATGCAAAAATCTATAAAAAATAATTGCTTAAATTCAAAGATTAAGTAAAATAGTTATTCCACTTTTAGACGATCATCTTTAAAAAAAAAAATGTATGACTTTTTTTGAGACAATTTTGGTGCTTTTTAAATTTTCTTCGTTAAACCGCTTCTCTGACGTCATCATGTGACAT